TATAGAGAGAAAATATTTTTTTCTTTATAATAGGAAATTGGTCAGTAGTGTCGATAGCTAAATATTCACCTAAGTTATCTAATCCACTTTCTAAACCTTCTAATTTTAATCTAAGGTAAAAAATAACACCGAAACCATACAACATGGGTAATTTAGGCCAATATTTTTTTTAAACTTCTTTTCCCTAGAGGCGATAGGAACTCCAAAAACCTCGTATGTCCTAAATTCACTAAATAAAATATACATTCTTAAAAGTTCTCCTAACGCTAATGGTGAAGTTGGGTAATAGGTTCCACTAAGCTTTAAGGTAACTTCGTGAAATCTACCTAAAAAGTTATACAAGAGTTCGGCAATTTGCCAATCAGTTTTATCTATAAATCATGCTCCTAATTTTGCACTAACATAATTTGTTATAGCATCTTTATAGGGGATGCGTTGTTCAAGCATTATGTAAGTGGAGTTCCATCTTATGGGCATATCTAAGGCTAATGCTCTAGGATTTTGATTACATGCTTGTAGAAATCTAAACCAATCTTGTATTCTTTGATTACTACCTTGAATCCAAGCAATGTTATTTCTAATTCTTTTAATATGACCTAACATTGATTTTAAACCGGACTTTACTATTAAATTAATTAGAGACATGCACAACGTTGGTGAAATATATCATTATTACCGAATAAACTTAAATCATTTTCAAAAAGTTCTATTGCTTTAGTATTTGCAGTTGCATTATCTAATGTTATGGCCATTATTCTATCTCTTAATCTATATTCATCAATAACAGATAAAATTGTGTTATATATTAAATTGGCAGTATGTGATCCTCTAACACATTTAAAACCTAAGATTCTCTTATCCAAGTCAAAACCTTTATAATAATGTCCGGTTACAACTAAATAATCCTTGTTGGCAACTGCGGATCAAATATCCACCGTTAACGCAACGCAACCGCTAGTAGAGTGTAGAAGGTTGATTAATGCTTCCTTTTCTTGTTTATATAATTTTAATGCATCTTTCCTAAGAGTAGTTCTAGAAAAAAATTGTGCATTAGGATTATGTACAATTTTAATATACTGCTGCCAATTTCTTTGTTCAGTAAAACTTAGTGGTTGATCTAATGTGGCTATTAATCGTGTCATTTCCATATGATCAACTTGCGGATTGTATTTTCACGTGCTTAGACCGCCGGTTTAGCGGTCAAACGATAATTGCGTTTGGCGGAGATCAGCTCCGCCTCCTTGCTTTTGAAGACACTTTTCAGAGTGTCTTATTAAGTGTGTAGTGTTATGAATAGTGTTACCTTATAATTTCTCACCACAATATTTACATTGAGCTATGTATTTAATGTTACCGTTATTGTTGACCTCCTCGAATGTGTTGAAGTGCTCCCAAACTGCTGATGTGCGCTTGCATTTCTTCTTAGAACTTGCAACACTTGCACTAGCACTACTGTTTGCCTCTCCTCCACGGCCACCAATGCCACCACCATTACGTCCCCGACCTCTAGTACGTCCACCAAGGGTCGGATTTGCAGTTTCATCAGCAACTCTTTCCATAGTTTGCGATTCCTGCGTTTGAAAAACATTAGGAAATTGTCCTTCTTCGATGTTGAATTGGGCATCAATGGGAATATCACCACCATAACCAGAAGAAGCCATTATGAAAAGTAAGAGAGATAGAGAGCGCTTTGAGAGAGATTAAGAGAGATCGAGAGAGATTTAAGCGAGATTAAGAGAGATTTAAGAGATATTAAGAGAGATTAAGAGAAAATGAGAGAGAATGAGAGTTTTTTGGTGAGGAAAATGGTTGGGGGGAGGGGGGGTATTTATAGGAAAATTTTTGGGTTGAAAAAAAAAATTTTCCCCTAAAAATTTAGGTCCAACGGCTAGTATAATTTTCGGGCAGCTTTCAGGCAGGTCGGGCAACAGTAAAAAATCCGACTTTCGGGCAAAATTCAGGTTCGGGCAAAAAAAATCCGTTTGGTTTAAAATTCGGGCTTCGGGCAACGGTCAAAAAAATTCGGGCAACTCAGATAATGCCGGAAAATTCAAAAAAATTCTGGCGAACATCAGGGGACGACTTCTCCACGGCGGCGGACAGTCAGGGGGATAAATATTTTCAGGCTGCCCGAGTCCGTTCCCGAAAATACCATGGTCGGGCGGCAAGAGGCACCTGCCCGCCGCCTGAATTTGCACCACTACTCATAGCATTTAATACATTGCATTCTTACTGCAGCAAAAACAATAACAACAAAAATAATAATAACGACAATACAATAACAATAAAACATTGCATGTGGACACTATTTTAATTATTCTTTTATTTGCTAAGTATATTGTTTTTTTTAAGGGCCACTTTGAGGATATCTTCAAATGGCTAGGTGCGTGAGTGTATGAATACGTAATTTAAAAGTTAAAATTCTGATGATTTTATTTCTTCTTAAATATAGTGGTAGTTATAAGCCTCCCATCTTATAAAAAAAAATGTTACCTAGATAAAAGTACTAATAAAATCCTGAACGTCTGCAATGACATTAGAATTCTGTAACCGCAGAGATGAGGAGAGAAGGCCCCCTCTACTTTTTTAGCAACTGCTGCCAAGACAGAATTACAATCATCCCAAACGGCAACTCCAACATTGATGACACTCATCAACGATCTTGATGCTTGCACCCACATTAATATTTCCAACAACTTATTGCTGGCAATAAATGCACTGCTAAATGGGCAAAGTCTGAAAACAAGCTCAAAATAGGCCAAATGGCTGAGTGCTTCCAGACCTCTAATGCCAAACAGAACCACAAGGCAAGACTAGTGCTCTCCTCCGTCTCCCCTCCTCTTGGATACCAACAATCACACGGCACCTGTCGCCGGGCCATGAGAGAATTTGAACTAAGTAGAACCCGCCACCCTTGTTTTGCCACCAAATTATTAAAAGGCCGCAACGTCCAGAAAACCCATACCACTGTCACATTTTGCTCGACATAATTTGTCCCGCCTGACCAGGTGAATCTTAGGCCCCGATTATTTCGTTAGTTCGTTTCACAACTTAAATTTTTGCTACAGTGTTTTCTCTCACAAAAATTTAAATTTAACTTTTTCAGTTACAGTATTTTCTCTCACATGTTATCACTTTTTAACTCGAACGAGCGAAACGAATGAAGCCTTACACTCCTCACCACCACCACCACCTTGCCAAAAGTTGGATGTGAGAGACTGAATATTGTTAATAGAGTAGTCAGGATTTTAAAGACACTCGTGGCAGAGATGGAGGTAGTTTAGGCCGTGGTTTTTATAAGAACTCTACCACTGACAGAAAACAATTTACTCTCCCACAATTGCGACTTCTTCCAAACCCTCGCTCTAACATATCAAATACAACTCTGATGGTCTATACAAAATGCTGCTCTAGTTTCCGTGGGTAAATGCAGTTTTCTCATTTCATTTCCCCATTATAATTCAATATGGAATTAAAGAAAAGAGGCTTTGCATATTGCATACAGCAAACCAATAAAGAAGATCATAAAAATAAGTAAATAAAAACAAAGTAGGAAATCATTATATTCCTGATGTAGAGGAAACGGCCTAAAGAAATGAGAATTCAAATCAATCCACCATATAAAAAGCCAGTTCCAGGAATCCAGACTCTGAACCCTCTAAATTAAGCCTTTAAGTACGGCTCTGGATCCATCTGGACTGACGATTCCAATCCCCTTTCCAGGTTTGTCCCACGTTAGGATTAGAAACAGCAGTTTCTTCACTTTTTGTTTTGTATAACCGATTCAACCTATTTTGGAATTCCGGGGAAACTCCCCCCCACCCCAGAAACTGAGCTTCAATAAGCAAGTGAAACGACTAACGGGTGTTGGGTGTAAACGATAATACGCCGAGCTATTTCTGACCTGAGGAGAGCAAGGGGCAACATTCAATAAAAGCCATACTTTTAAAGGTGAAATAAGCACCTTTAAATTGTTTAGCCTTTGGCCTAAGACCGCTTGGTCTAGTGGCACCACGGGTTTGGGTGTATGGAGTTTGGAAGGAGGTTGTGGTTCGATCCCGTTTTTATATCAAAATAATTGTTGTCTTTGAGAAAGAAATTCTAGAGGAAAAAAAAAAAAAAGCATGAAATATAGGAACCACATTTTTATTCATGGTCTCAACAAAGCTTTTCTAGCGTATAACAGTTTTCTAGGTGAATTTACAATGCCAAATATCATAGAGCAAGATCCAAGGCACTCAAACTCGGACACTAACCATAAAAACAACAGAATCTACTCTTCCACGCTAATCCTTGAGTTCTCCTCCCAGAGCAACGGGTAAGCCTCCCACATCTGGTGATTGCGTATAAGAAATAGAAATCAGTTCAGATCTAAACTTATCTTCTCCATCACAATCTATTCCTCCGACGAGATTCTCTCCGTTCAACTTGTCGGACGATGGTTTCGAAGTAAGAACATTCTCCGGTAGAGAGTAAGAAATGGAAATAAGCGACTCTCTAGTCACTTCCTCAGGAACCTCCTTTTCAGGTGCTGTCTTATCCATATAATGGCGATCTTCTTGGTCTGCAAGAGAGCAAGTGACAACAGATATCGCTTCAGTTAGGAACATGGTTAAAATAATAACATGAAATCAGGCTCTCCATATGAAGAAAGTAGTAACTACAACAATCATTCACAAACAAGTTCTAGATTCCATTGTAGAAAAAGAATAATGAAACCAACTTGGAACTGATGGTAGAACTATTATTTTGATGTCCTTTTGACATGAACACAACTTCAACAAATCTGGCTTATATGACTAGTAAGCATGCATGACTTGTTGTATTGTGACGAATATTAGCATATGACAAGACAAGGCACATATTAAGGATATTTGCATGCCTAACATCGACTGCGGTACTCTTCAGCCTGTGTAAGCATAACCATTGAAATTAAGAATCGTCATGACAAGAGAATTATTTCTGAGCTTCGAAATTGTTCCCAAGGATATAAAACATACGCCCTAAAGCTCGTCTACTGCTAAAGCAAGGGGCATCAAGGAATAGTCTACAAGCTCAAACCATGGAAGGATATAGACATGACATCTTTTAAAATGCTCACATGACCAATAGCTCACCCTCACAGTACTCATCATGTTTTCTCCAGTTCTAGCATCTTTTCAGAAAAGAGAGACAAATAGTTGCACCCAAAAAAAAAAAAAAATGCAGAAGCATTATGTTTGTAATGCTATATGTATAGATAAGCGCATCTCCCCCAACTACTTTTAGCTGTCCTCCAAATCTTTAAGCCACAATACAAACTTTACAAGGCATAAAAGAACCTTGAATTGAGAAATCCAATGACACTACAATTAAGAAATATTCCCTTTGTATTTAGTTCTTTTGTTTCCCAACTCTGTACGTTTGTTTTGTGTACTTTTCTTGAGTGTTTTTCAATGAAATAATGCTTACTGACCAAGAACAACAACAACAACAATAATATATTCCCTTTATAAACTTTTTCAAGCATATGCAACTACAGGCATTCTCTTAACCCCTTTTAGCTGTGAGAAGTACTGTATCAGCAAAATGAATATGTTGTTCCTATTTCCTCTTTCCACTTCCTTTGTATGAATAGTGAAACGACTTCTAGGGCCATAACCAAAGTTCAAGCTCATAGGAAGAACTCTAAAAATAGCATGATCAGCGAATATAAATTATACTCAAATATTCTACTACAAGATCGAGCAAAACAAAAGCTTAGTGTCTCCTGACATTAAGCATTATACTAAACAAAGTTCATGCCTACAGCAACTAAGGTTGTTTTGGATTTTTTTGCTTCGTCGAATATGATTCTAAGGTTGGCTTGGATTCTTTTGCCTCGTTGGAGTGTCCAAAGAATTGGGAGAATGAGAATCTGAGGTTAGAAGTGTGAATTTGGCTCAAGATTTCTGTTCCTTTAATTTCATTTGGATTTGGAGGATAGGAAGTGTAGCTCAAGGTTTAGCAAGATGGGTGATCTCATCCCCTGTTGTGTGGTTCAATGGTTCCTTCTCAATTCCTAGGACCGAGTTTCCTAATTTTCTTGTTTACACTACTTCTTTCTTTTGTCCCTGACGTATTTTTTTTTCCCTTCTTCTTTATAAAGATTATTTACTGGGGAAAAAAATGCCTACAACAACTAAGTTCTATCCATTGGCCTTCTCTTTCGTTAACATTTTCCCCCCAAAATCCAATCATTAGATTAATATAACCAAAAACACTTCCTGACTTTAGAGGAAACCCAGCAACACAAATGAGAAAATTCACCAAGTTTCCGAAAATAAAAAAGCAAAACCATCAAATAACAAAGAGCACCAAAACAAACCAAGAAAAGGTTACTGAGTTCAGATAAAAGTTATGTCCTCCCAGATCAAAAGAACTTCTTTCTGGCCTTGTTTCCATGTTAGGTAACTGTAAATAGGCATCATATAAATAGATTATCATCTAATCCTTGGACATCATCCATGAAAACTAAACCCCAATTTCTTCTACTCGAACAAAAACTCTCTATTGTCCAGTTTCACCATCACTTACATCAAAAGATTCAATCTTCTTTTACAATACCTCGGTTTTCCTATAATATACAATTACAATTCACAAACCACAGAAATTTAATGCAATACATGAACAAAAAAAGAAACTTCATACATAATAATAAACCAAAAAAGAGCGAAAATTATCTGTGCTTCACACCGATGGATGAAAACCGACATGATTAACAAAAATATCGATCTAATTGCGAGAATATCGAAAACCGAAATTAATCGAACATTAAAGAAATTAAAACTAACACCAAGAAACGAAAAGATTAAAATCTATTTTCGTGTTCAAATAATGAATCGATTGAAGCACATAATCTGAAAAATCGAGATAGAGAGAAAGAAATGATTATTGATTACCGGGATTGGTCGGGAGTTATACATTCGATGACGTATCTGATCTTCAATCAATCTGGTTTTCTGCGTATCTCAGTATGACAGTATATATCTATCTGTAAGACTTTTTTTCCCTTTAAAAAATAGTATGGTTTATTATTTTATTACTATTTTATTATTTTATTGTTTTATTACTATTTTATTATTGTAAGGGAGATTCTTCCGGAAAGAACGAAAAGCAAAAATATTTTACCTCCTTCCTCAGTCCGCCCGGTGACGTTTTTAAAAGGAAAACAAACAAAATAAATGAGGATTTTTATTATTTTAAACTTTTTTTTTTAATTTAAGTTGAGATGTAATTTTTTTAAAATTTTTTATTGTAATAAAAAAAAAGACATAATTTTTTATAAGAGCTTCTTATTGTAATAAATTAAAATTAAAAACAAGAAATTGGAAAATTGAATGAGCCTAAAAATATTAAAAAGAATTTTATTATTTTGACACTTAACTTTTAAAAAAATACCTATTTTGCGCTTCCACTCAATAAACCCCAAATTAATTTAATGAGTATCAGGTGAGGAGAGGCGCCGTGGGCAAGAGAGGATAGTGTGGCCGTGGCGCGGCTTTGAGCATGGCGCGGCTTTGAGCAGGCGATTGGCCAACGCAGGGCTAGGTTGGCGGAGGAGACTAGCGAGAGGGCTAGGCGGTTCTATCGTTATCATTTTTTTTAGTTTTAGGAGTGCCAATCAACAAATACACGTCAACACCAGGAGGCTTTTTATGTAATTTGAAAAGGGAAGTTTTTCTCATAAGACTAAAAAAATAAAACTATCGATAATTCTATTTTTTTTTAGTCATTTTCAGCCGTTAAATCTGTATCAAAACTGTATGTTCTGTATATTTTTTCAACGGCTGAAAATGCCAGATTTCAGCAGTAAAACTCGAGTGATCTCATATCGATTATTAAATATGAATAACATCAGCAGAAGTCAAAAACTAAGCACGGCTAAAGAAACAATTACAACAATTTTTTTTTTCTTGCTTCCGAATATATTTTCGTGTTACACAAGCACAGTTCCATCATATCTTAAGATGCAAAAGTTTGGCCAGCCAACTGTTTTGATCCAGTATTCGAACAGAAGCCATCTGCCATGCGAAAGTCAGTGCCTGAAAGGATTCATTGTTCCCGTGCAACGAAACGATCGACCAAGTGGCCAAACAACGGGGAAACCAGAATTCAAATGACATTCCGGGAGATGACCTGCAAGTCGCTAATCACTTGATCAGGACACTACAAGAGGAGCAGATAAAATAGTAAGGATTGTATCCTGAGCATTGCTATAAGGCACCGGCGGTGCTAAGCACCATCCACTAATAAAAAAGGGATAGTGCTCCTAAGCATTTTTCAGGTATGGGGCTCTTGAAATCCTTATTTCATATATGTAAAATTACCTCTGATATCAACGGCTTGGCATTTGCTTCCCACTCAACATCCCACCTTGCCGAAGAACCCATTTCTAGAGCACCATTCTTCAGCAACTTCAGTGCATCACATGCATCTGGGAAACCCTTGAATAGATGCTGTGCAGGTTCATACCAAAAGACGACATGGTCAAACAAAATGCACATCATGCAATAATCTGACAATTTCGTAGAAGTAAATAAAGCTATTTTGGTCATCACGCTTGGTTTATACGGGTATTGGGGGCTGTTTAATTTAACATCAACCCTTCCTAGCCGTCAACCTCCCCTGTGAAGAATTATAAAATTTTAAAAACCTGTAACGCATTTTAGCACGAATGTGCCCTTAAGAAAGTCATGAATCATGAAAAGGAGACTAATTATAATACATAATAATGTAAGAACGATGCAACACCATATACAAGATGAAACAATTTTTCAACCAGCAGGTTTGCAGAAAATTGGCTAAACCATCTAACCAGTGCTTTTGAGGATACCAAGATGTGTTTAAAACTCATTCTCCCTTACCCCTCACAGTGATTCATTATCAGAAGAGAATGGACTCGAGTAAAGGTTTGGTAGGAATGACAGAGAAAGGGATGGAGAGAAAGAGACATTCCTTTTTCTGGTGGTAGAGAAGACAAAAAGTAAGGCCAGAAAAAAAAACAAAAAAAGATGGAAGAAGATATTTATGCAGGCCCACAAAAACTCCCAGAGTATAACATGAATTGTAGGATAAAAAACTTGAAACTGTTGTTTTTTAACAGTTTTTATAAGTTAAAAACAAGAAAAGACAGAAAGAAATAGAGAGAGAGAGAGACGAGGGACAAAGCGAAAGATGTCTTGTTTTGAATTCTTATATCAGAAGTACATCGAAGAAAATGAAAACGTCTTATATCAGAAGTACATCGAAGAAAATGAAAACGTCCATATTTATAACGAATCTGAAGTTACTGTTCAACTTACTATTCACATTTTATGTGGGTATATTTGTTTCTTAGTTTAATACGAATAGCTTGTGCAGCACTAGTGTGGGTCCAAATTCCGATGGTAATTTGGCAAGAATTACTTTTATATTTTATCTTCCTTCTGCATCCCTTACAGAACAAAAGACGTAATAACCAAATAATATGAGGGAGAGACAAGCTCCTTCCTTTTCCTTTTTTTTTTAATTATTTTAAATCCCATCCTGTTTTTGCCTATCAATCCTTTTGTTTCATCAGGATAAGTAGAAGATGAGACTGACAAATATCTCATAGTAATTGATGAAAGCCCAATATATCCACCGAGTGGACTAACTTACCAAAAGTTCATCAGCTAGTTCCGAAGATGACGAGAAAAGAAGACCGTCTTTCTCCACTGTCACTAGCTCCTTGATGCTTAGAACCGAGAAAACAAAATCAAGAGTGTCAACTTTGAAGTAAAACATAACTAGATGAGTACTCTTAGATGCCGAAAAATATTCAGAGAGTTACCATGAGTAAGAAACAGCACAGACGGGCAGTCCACAACCAAACATGTCCACAACCTTACACCAGAGATTGAGAAAGATAAGTTTCTACGAAATAAGAGTCTACCTTAACCTTTTATTTCTATGCAATTTCAGTTCTAGTCTATACCTTCATGGGAAGGTCCAACCCTGATGAAGAAGTATGCAAGCACACACCAAGATCAGCAGATCCTGTCAATGTACCAAAAGCATAAATATGTATGACAGTCCAAAGAAGCAAATAAAGTTAAAGGAGCTAAGGGAAATAAAGCATAAGCAATTGAATATAAATGACATACCAAGGAGCAGTGGGTAGTCCTCAGCTGATAGCCACATGGTACGAAACGCGACACGTTTGAGGCGTAACCTCTTTATCTTTTCTTCATATTTTTGTTTTTCCGGCCCTTTGCCTTCATGTAGTTAGTGAAGCCCACCATGTATGATTTTGAACATGCATAAGCAAACGCTAAAAGGGATCTGACACTTCAAATTTTTTTTTTTTAGTGATCTGACACTTCAAAATGCGAAACAGAACCATTACCTGTAATGACAAATATCAGCCTAGGATACAAATATTGCTTCCCACCCGACATCTCATTCCAAACAACGTCTTCTTCAATTGAATTATCTTCACCTAAGATCGCAGAAACGCGTCTGTCATACATCACAGCTGCTTCCAAGAGAATTCCAAAATCTTCATCCGGAGTCCTATAGAATGTGAAGCCATGAAATTAGTATCTCATTTTCATTCCTTAAAGGAATGGGATTTTTGCCAATTAATTGGCATATAATACAATCTCTCTTATGTACATAAAGTACAGTTTTAGTTATAGTTGGAAAGCATACACTATTTGAGAAAAGGACTAATGCAACAATTTTTTTTTTCCGAGACCAAGGCTCTTTTATTTTGGAAAGATGGCATTTGATTCTGAGTTCCCACATAATTTCTTCATGATTCTGAAGTCCAAGATTGGGCAGATAGTAATCATATACAGAGCAACTTAAGTTGTCAGTCTGGCTAGTGAACTACTGCCATGTAAGCAATAACCGCTTTTAATTTGAACTTTTTTAAAATTATACCCTTCCCCTAATCCATAGGACCAGAACCGAAGCATTTCAACATTTAAACTAAAAGCTGATTCAACAATTTCTCAAATCAAGTACACATATCGTTGGCAAATATTAGGAGCTGAAAATTTCATGTATGTAGCTAAGCAACCAATGTTGAAAGCAACAACATAATACCAAAACATGCATGCATGCAACTAGCAGATATTCACATGCAAAAAGATGAAGGAATGAAAGATGCAACACTGAAAGGTGAAAAAATATGAGGAAAGCACACGCAGCTATAAAAGTGTCCTCGTCAAATATTTTAATGCAACACAAAGGGCAGAATGTATTGTTTTGATATGTATATGACCGTAAAAGATTTCAAACGATACCAAATCAAATTCTAAGATGTGCAATTGTTGAGGTATATATATCTCCCTCACCTAAGTATACATACATTTGTAATTCATAAACTAACAGCTTACCAGCTAGTGCTGCTAACAATCAATGCTGGCCTGTTTTGTTTTAAAACAATGTCAGTGCCAACCAGAGTGCTAAAAAGAGTATCATCTAGATCCTTCGGGGAGAGTCCTCTGCTTCCTACAAATTTTGATTAGTTTTAAACCATTTTCAATAATATATATATATATATATTCAGTTGAAATCCCCAGGCAAATAATAAATAAATAAATAAGTTTAAGTTACCGATGGTGGCACAATCTCGAAATCCATAAGGCTCCCTCAGAGCTTCATCCAATCTACAAAACAGCTATAGATGGTCCACATGTTATCTTTCAGTCAACAAGTCAAGAACACTAAAATCTGGCATGGAAACATCAACATACATATACCTTGTGCTTTTCCTCAAGAGTTGCAGGATGGAAAAACTCGGGAGGCTGATCATAGAGAACTGAGGCTCTATTAAATCACAAAAAATTTAAAAAAAAAATTAAAAAAAGGGGGTTACTTAGCATTTGTTAATAGTAAACATTCTAAAATTGAAAGCTGAAACTGTGAACACCGAGCTGACCCTCTTACTTAATAGACCAATTTTGAGCCAATTCATGTTGCATAGCCTTCGTCACACATAGAGAACCATTAGCCATCTTCCCAAAATGCCGCTCAAACCTTATAAGGTAACAGAAAATCACATCTGGTGCACAACCAAAAATAAGTCCTCATTATAATGTCCAGAAGGATGTTGATATATACCAATGGTATAATGCCACAAATCGACTACTTCTTCCAAGGGACAGTGCCAACAAAGTGTATCCAAAGTTATGCCAGTCGATAATAAATGCAGAACCCCTTAGCCAACTTGCCCATTTTACAGCCACCAAAGTTGGAACAGAAGGTGGATTCTGCAGAAGCAAAATAATAATAATTTAACATTTTCTCATACCAAATTAACAATTCCTGATTAAAAAAGAAAAAAAAGGATTACACACAGACAAATGAATACTATACTTTTTTATGTAGGAAACAAGTTAATCTGATGGATGAAAAGTTTTGTGAGTTTGTAAAAACAAGCAATGTAGCAGTCATCACAGGGATATCACCAAAAAAAAAAAAAAGAAGGTGATAATACGATTCTTTCAATTAGGAGGGTATTAACTTATATTGCTTGTCAGGTAGTTTTTTCCCCCTTCCTTTTAGTACAATGCAATAAAGAATGCCGACCTTAATTCACTTGAACAGTTCAAGTAGAACCTTAAATGCAGAAATAATATATATGCAAACATCTAGGTTGAGAGATATATATATAAGATGGTCTAAGGAAAAAACTTAATCGGAAAAGAAAAGGGGAAAATCGTGCTCCATTGTACATGAGTCTATTATTGTAGACAGCAGAAAACACAAATGACAGAAATTCTTTAACAAAAGAACCTTACGTCCTACCAAGTGAAAATTGCAAGCTCACCTGCACTAAGAAAACATCAGGAGCGGCTATCTTGAAACAAAGAAACCAAAGAAGCATGAAGAACTGAATCAGTGGCTTAAACAAAAGCATAAAAGGTTTGAGGATCTTGGGTAGGCTGGGTGGAACAGCGGGCCATTGCTTCTGCACAGCAATGTCAAAACAGAATTTATTTTCAGCTACTGAGATAGCTTTACTCTGTCAAGAGTAGAAGTGAATAACAGATACCATTTTGTGTATATGAATTGATTTATGCTCCAATATAGCAGAATAGGGTTCTGAACCTGTCCAGCCATTCAAATTCACAAATAAACCAACAGGCATTAAAAACCTTTCTTTTACTATAAGAGAACCTTTTTTTTTTTTTATAAGAAACTGGAAACTTTATTATTCAAAAAGAAATATACAAAGGGAAGATGGATGAGCTCTACATCCCAAAGAAAAATACAAAGGGAAGATATATAGGTGTTATTTTGTGCTTGATGCCTTTTGTTGAGTGTTCGGTTTTCTTGTTCTGTTTTGTATTTCTAATCAGAGAACCTTTTGAAATGTGTAAACGTCCAACCAGAGAAAAACCGGTCATATTAACTGAATAAACGCACAACATTTAGGTCACACGAATATAACACAGGAAAAAGCTAAATGCATTTAGATGTACACATAATTACATGCATAAATATAGTTGCCAAACATTTCATCTCGCTCCTAGCACAAAAGGAGTCTTAAACCCAGACCCGGCACTTGGGTCATAGGCACATGAACATAAATTGTGTCACGCAGTGTTTGTGTGCTGCGGTAATAGCCTTTTGACAGCTCTACACAAACACCCAAATCACCAAAAACAAAGAGGCCTTGAAATTTCTAATATCCCCAGCACATATGTACATATTCCAAAGCAATTGAAAATTTCCACCAACACAATCAATTTGAAGCAAAGAGAAGCTAGAAAAGAGTCAAATCCATGGCTTAAGGGGAAAACCCCCAAAATAGGAGAGAAAACAGCTATGATTCCAATATGTCAATATTCAGCTCCCATTACAATAGCTACTGCGCATACTTGCAATTACAAAAAGAACCACCAATGTCAAACAACACACTAAAATAATAATAACAAACAAATGAAAGGGACGACATTGCTTTGATACATTATAACAAAAAGCAAAGCCAAATTGACAAGCTAAGACAAACGACAATGCAAATATAAAACCAACTTTAATAACTAAATGTTCCTACATCACACCGAAACTTAACAAATCTCTCACAATTACGAAGGAAAAACTAGGCTGCAGAAATTTATGCAGTGACAAGCTTTGAAGATAAATTATGAACAATGGAAACAAAACACTAATACTATAAGATATCACACATCCACTAAAAGATAATTTAATGTGGGTTTTTCTTCCCTAGTTCGGTTAGTTACTCAAATCTTAAAAAGCAAACCCATCCATTAAAAAAATAAAAAAAATAAAAAAATAACAGAGAGAGAGAGAGAGAGACAGAGACAGAGAGTACCTCCATATGCAACAATGTCGACCTCCAAACATGCCTGGAAGATCCATTGAAAGATCATAGGTCAATTAACTAAAACAATAATTGAATTTTCCATACCATTTCAGAATTTAGTAACAAATTGACATATATATTTACATATATAAACATATATATATATATATATAAGAAGGGAATGTGAACCTGACGAGCAAGGGAAAGGGCATGATACTGCATACGAGGACTGCGACCGATGTCTCCCAAGACGACGACGCACGCCCTTCCTCTCTTCCCCTTCTTCTTCTCTTCTCCTACCAGAAAAATAAAATAAAATAAAATACAAATTCTTTGTGAAATTGAGATGATGAAGATAGCGCGGGTAAATCGAAAATGAAAAGGGAATATAATATATTTACCCGCCATAACCGTGTGAGTCTGGAATTTCTCCTGCAATCTGATTCCTCCGTGATAGACAACAGTGGTTTCTGAATCCAAGATTTCTCAATGTGATATTTTTGTATATTTGGAGACGAAACGGAGAGACGAAGAAGAAAATTATGTATGAAAATTTTTTCGTGTTAAATTTGACCCAGAAAAAGAAAATTAATTAAGGAATGGACATCAAATTGGTGAAGTCATTTCCTTTACTTGGGTAGAATTTAGAAACGCCACTTCTTTTTTTTTTTAAGGGAATAGAAATACCACTTTTACTTATTCCAAAAAAAATACATATTCTAATTTCTTCAAAGTGATTTTTAACCCCTTTTTTTTTTTTTTTTTTTTGAGTTTTTGAACATTTTTACCATAAATCGCATCTTTGTGCGAGGAGCTTTTTAAGAATGGAGTTTCTCCGGAAAATTACATTAAATTAAAAATATATATAATAAAAAATTTTAATATAAATTAAACAGTTAAAAATAAAAAATTATCAATAATTTATTTTTTTAATCCTATTAAAGAAACTCCTTTTAAGAATTGTAACAGTAATCCCAATTAAGCAATCATAATAAATTAAGACATCGTTTAGTTTGTAGATTTGAGTTAAGATGTTATTTTATATAAGAGTTTTTCATTATAACAGAAAATATTAGATGTGATTTTTGTGAGAATTTTTAACTGTAGTAAAACTGGAATTAAAAACTCGAATTAATAAAATGAACGAATCCTAAAAATTCACCAAACTACTTGGTCAACATGAATTTAGACCTCGGCTTGAACCGAACTGACTGAACACACATCCATCAAAAGATAGAACCACATATCTGAATTTTTTTGTTTGATGAGTTTTGTTTAATTTATTGTTTTTTATTTTCTCTAATAGTTTTACAAAATTAATTCGAAGTACATTAATAAAAGAATAAGTTGGATACCAATGAAACAGGATACCAATGTGATAGTTAAAATACAGAGTATCAAATGCAATGCTAAGTTCTGATATGAATGTTAAAATTTGCAGAGCAAAAAAAATAAAAAAGTTCTGATATGAATGTTAAAGTTTGGGATTTTGACAAAGAAAAAAAAATGTGCACGTCATTTTAGTATGACCAATGGATCTCTAATTTCTAATACCTATGGCCAAAATCAACAGTAGACAGTACAAAACTGAAATTTGTAAAGTAAAATCAACAGTTAGTTACACATTGTAGTTGATTTCCTACAAACAAAAACATTCGTGGACGTTTGGTTTACGGAATCAGAACCATTCTCGGTTTATGAGTATTTTTTGTGAGAAAAAATACTGTAACGAGCCACGAACCATGATTCGAACCATGACACGAATCTCATATGCTTTTATACATTTCTTTGTAAAACTATTCTGCAAAACAAGAGGGTGTTCTTTCCAAAATATCCCTCCGAAAAACAACCACCAAAACTTGTGCTCAAACATTATATCCTCTTCTAAGACAGCCCTTAGCAGCATGAGAATAATTTTCTTTTAGAGAGAGAGAGAGAGAGATTGCAGCAATGAGAATAATTTACATCCCTAGACTCTGGCCGCGCCAGCTGTTCTGCCTCTTTGCTTCAAAGGAGGCTCCATCATTGAGCATATCTTGGGCATCAGTCTCCATTCCTAGCTTGGAGAGTGCAAGAGCTTGCATGTAGAATGCCGTCGGCCACTCTGGCAAGCACACTTGAGCCTGCATTGCATCTCTCAGAGCTAGCTCCGCTTGCTCCACCATCAAGTACGATAATGCTCGCCTCACAAAGATCGTTCCCGATGGCACAGACATCATTGATACCAACTGTATATCAGAAAGATTTATAAAGAGCTACAAAAAGCAAGCAAACAAAAAGGGAAAAAGGAATATAGGAGAATTATTTGGTAAGGTATGGAGATATCTCCCATCAGTACTGCTCTATTTTCTACTGTCAGATCACATCAAGATGTGATATTTTTGTACCCTACTACAGAATTATAAGAATTAATTATTATTGATAAATGCATAATTCGTTTCTGGAATATAAATTTTAAATCCCAGATTCCATATCAAAAGCAGGAGTAAATGCTTATATGATGTGCAACATCGTTTGGACTTTATACAGAGATAACTATGTGTTAGACAGACCACAATAAGAGCCAGTCATGCTTGAAGATGAAAACAGTAACCACACCAAAACTGAAAGAATTTAAGAAGTACCTTAGAATAATACTCGATGGCATTTTTGAAATCCTTGTCTCTGAATGCGATATCCCCGAATTTCTTCGTATTTAACATATCTTGCACTTGTTGTGTCCACTCTTGGAATGACAGCTTCACATTGAACACATTTTCAATCTTATCAAAAACAAACAACACATTTGCAACAAAGCATAAATTACAATCATTCATGATCGACATTGTCTGAGGTACGTTGATGTAGGTACACGCAAACACATACAACTGTACATACACACGTATGCCCGTTTGGATTGGCTTAAAAAAAGATACTTTTGACTTATTTAGTCTAAAAGCCGCTTTTGAACCTGTTTGGATGGATGGACAACCTTAAAGTGTTTTTGACTTTTTTAAACACTTTTGGAACAAGCCATCTCCTTAGCACTTATGAAAAGTTTTTTTATTTTCATTTTTTAACCTTTTATTTGTGAACAACAAATTGAATATCCCATTCATATCCTTTTATTACATTACTTTTTATAACACTAAGTGCTTTTGACTTTTTTTACCCAAACCGGTTCAAAAGTTCTTCTTAGATATAAAAACACTTTTTCAGGCACTATCTAAACACTAATTAAAAAAGCTCCAACTTATGCTTATCATCTTCTACTACTTAAAAGCACAAGCATAAGATATCCCAAAACGGGCCCTATATAAGTTCTACTTCTACACAAAGTTCTTCGTTAGAGGGCGTTATGTTTTAAGTCAACGAGATAGAATACGGAGACATGATGCATTTGAATGAAAGAAAACTCACTTCATTTTCAGCACCCTCTTCGTCTTTATAACCAGTTTTAAGCAAAATCTCATGCACTGCAGTAAGATCCATTTGCACACAAGCCTTTCCAAGAGGAGAGAGCATGGTTGGCAATACCACCGGAGTTTTTGTTAAACCCATCAAAACATGTGACGCAACCTAGAATATCCATTAAAAAAAAAATTCCTTAGTTTTGAACAATATATATACAAAACTTTTTTGTGCAATATATAACATTGAAAAGTTCACCTCTTGCTTCTTCTGGAGGGGTGCTGCAGCTGAAAGAAGAAATTTTACATCAGGTCGATCTCTAGCCTCGTATTGAAGACATCTCGAGGCCAGTTCGACCAATTCAGTGGCATCTTCGTTGGAATACTGCCCTTCTAAAGATGAATCCATCAACAACAACAAATTGTTTCCCCTTATCAAGTCCAGTGCCTGAGGATGGTTTATATACATATTGTAGAATAAGATTATGAAAGGTAGAAAAACCACTAGTTTGCAAAGGAAGTCAAGATCGGAATTAACGTCTGCATGTAAGGATAGGAAGACATAAGCGCGTTTAGAAACAAGAAAAGCAGGCTATGATATTCCAATTTGCTGAAAAGCCATGTTTTCAAATAAGAAAAATAAAAATAAAAAATAAAGAGAGAGAGAGAGAGAGAGAGATCCAAAGCTATTGACACTAGACTATTATGAGGAAATTCTAGCTATCAACGGAATATGAGTTATGAAGATTGTGACATACATGGCTTGGAGGTATATGCTTTCCACTTAAAAGATCTAGCAGCACAGTTCCATAACTGTAGATTACACTCTCTGGGATGACCCTACCTGCAAAACCAAGCACCAAATTATAGTACAATGCAAGTGTTTACTCTTAAACAAACCACTATAAATAATACATCATACATCATAGTCACAACATGTATAATAATTTCAGCACTTTAAACCATAGTATTTCCGAGTGTTGTTTTATTTTTATATCACTAAAAAAGAGTATTTCGAGGATAATGCTGGTTTGATTATTTTTGTTTGTGTCACTATCATGTCAGATTCTTCTAGCTTTTGTAGTAATTACCGGTAGTTTCTATTGTTACTTGTGGTAATTATTCGGTGACGTAAAAGCAAATAATCAAAACCAGTGCTATTTGTAAAATAACTTTTTTATTAGTGCTATTAAAAAAAAAAAAAAAAAAATCCCAACTATTGATGAAGAAAGCTCAGATTACAGGATTGCCCTTGTTTGAGGAGAATAAAATTAAGGAGTTCTAGTTAACAACTTTACCATTGCTTGTATATCCTACAGTGGGCCCCCAGTTCCATTAATAGTAAGTTTAAAACTAACATCTTAAAAAGACATGGCAAACGGGATAATAAGAGACCACTTTACATCTTATCCATATCCAGCTGTTGTATTTTCCATATTCCAGTAGACAGGTTTCCAAAATTCTCACATTAAAAAACCAAGCATCTTGTATATCTGTCCTAGTTTGCATCTACAAAGGGTTTATGTTTCTTCTCTTGTCAATTAACATTTTTACGCAATTAATGTTCATGTTCCATAACTAAGAAGTCAATATGCTGCAAAGTTCAAAGTTCAAGCTAAACTGTCAAAAAGTAATTTCAATAAGAAAGCTTAAAAAGCATGTGAGAAAACAACGACACACCTGTTCGCAAAAATTCAGGTGGCGTGTAAGCCAAGTTAGTGCTATAACTTTTTCCATCTCTGCTATTCTTCATAAGGCCAAAGCTAGATAGCCGAGGATCACCTTCCTGGAATTTGAAGAAAATTAAGCTCTCGAACAATCTAGGGTGCTAATTATTAACCCCACAAATATATGCGTTCTCAAGACATGAATTTCTAGTGCTGCCATGTCATGCAATGTTCCAAAATAAGAAAAATATTCTATAAATCCATTCCCTGGCACAGAACCATGGGGTACAAGCCAACATTATTACACGTCACGTATTTATCTTCGACGAATATGCAATGTGTTGAGTCACTATATGATGCTTATGCACAGAGTAAATTCCATTAAAAAGAATCCAAGATCGTTACGTTTCAAAGAGACAGATTAAGCAATGTTGCCAAAATCTTTTCTCTACGACGTGTTACGGCTTTTTTTTTTTTTTTTTTTTTATAAAAAAAAAAGTTTCTTTTTAGTTATAAAAAAAAAAAAAAAAAAAGCCACAAGCTCCAGAGGTTATGAAGACACATGCATAAAAAATGGAATTGGCAGGAGTCTACGCATCGCACATATGACCATGGCTGTTGCTAGACTATTTAGTCGGTAATCTAATAACCTATTTGGTACTCCATTGTTAATCATTCTTTGTGTTAGTTGCAAGTGTATTTTAGGTGCTGGAGTCAATGCAACACCAAAGCGAATGTTTAGAAATGGCCTAAATGGATCTTGTATCTGTTCATTTGTGTACCTCATCAAAGAGAACTCTGTATGCATTCAAGTCGTGATATAGCTTCCGATTTTCAGCATTGCAATGATCAAGCGCTTGTGCAATATAATACGCAACTCTCACACGCATTTCCCATGGCAGTGGCTGTTTGTCCCCTACAACAGAAAGCATGATGGAAAAGGGGGATTGGGAAAAGCACACAATGAAAGAGATTGCAGATTTTCCACGTTAGTATTATCTTTAGCAAATATGTAATAAGCACATTAAAAACGTTTTAATACTTGTAAAGAATAGAGAAACATACAGTGAAAGAGATGCTTGGAAAGAGAATCATTAGGCATGTACTCTGCGACCAACAGCCGCTCGTCTCCCTCAGCACAACAACCAATCAAATTCACCAATCTCTTGTGTCTGACCTTTCCAACCCCAGAAGCCTCCGTCTATAAAACAAATCCGTTAATTGCATGTTTTCTTATTAGGAATGGAAAGGGAATTGAGTGGTTGGTTCTCATTCCCACTCGTTTATGTCAATACTAACAAAGTTAAGAATAAATTCTATTGAGACCATTCCTTGAAGGAATCAAGAAAAAATGATCCCAATCATCAGGGACTTGACTTTGATTTCCTTTCTAATCTATAGAATTATTCATATACTCTCAAGTCTCATCAATAGTACTCGTCTGAAAATGCTACCAAACTTTAAAACCCGTGTCACTTTTCAAAGTTCAGGCCTTCAGGGACGATTTTGGGGATACTTTGCAAAAGTTGTGGAATTAGAACTACACCTAATTAAAGGAAATTTCAATATTTGGACCTACTTCCTACTCTAACATAGCAAACACTAGAAAGGGAATCGGGTTGACTCTGGATTCATCTCCAAATAGCTTAGTACACATTTTAATGAAATTCCTGGTTCTCATTTCCACTCTCTTATTACTTCCTTTTATTCCCTTTTCAGTTTCATTCTACTATGGATTTAGTGAGTGCTACAACATCTAAGGATGCACTCAATGGCGGAGCCACATAGTAGTGAGTGGAGGGCACCGGACTCGCCACAGGTGTCCCCACTCAACTTTTAGAATTTTGAATTTTGTCTCTGTAACTTCTCTAAAATTTTAATTGTGCCGCCATTTTATAAGAAAAACTATGACTATACCCCACTCAATAATTGAAATATATAACTATGTCTTTACAGTTTATTCAATAAGAAAATATCTACTTCTTTTCTCTTAGTGTTCTCGCTGAAAAAGATTTCAGACTTTGCCACCATTATGAACCGTCCGTATAAGACATCTCCCCAACACACACACACACACACACACAAACTCCCTTATACATGTGTCACGTAATACAGATACATGCATACATATTATATACATGTGTGTGTGCATTGCAAAACAGTATGATTAAACACAAAATACTCAGTCAAAGTGACATACCAGAAACTGATTGGGGTCAGGCCAAGACTGCTTGGAGAAGCGCTTAATGGCGACCAAACGATTGTTCCGAAGCTTCCCTCTGTAGACCACATTGGGGGCTTTCTCTCCACTCTCCGAGACGATCAGTTCGGAGCTGAACCCATTTGTGGCCGCTCGGAGCTCAGCCAGGCCGAACTCTTTGAACACAGCCACCGCATGCTCTTCTTGTGATTCTTCTTCCCCATTAGCTTCATTCGTTACTTCAAAACAAAGATTCAATGTTTTGACAAAAAACAAACAAACAAACAAACAAAATTCTCACATTAGAAAGAAAACCCAGAAGAAGAAATATCGAAACCTGGATCTTGGAGAGGAGGGTCCTGGTCAGGGGAAGCCAAGTGGGTGGTTTTGGACTGAAAGCAGCCCATGACTAAGAGCTTACATAGATAGTTGTATATATACAACAGTACTAGTACTTTCTCAGCACCTAGAGAGAGAAAGAGAGGTAGAGAGAGAAAGAAAATGTGGAAAAGATGAGAATGGAGATGGTGTTGAAGTGAAGTGAAGACTGAAGAAAGAGTGCAACTCTATAGAAAGAAAATCAAGGAAGGAAGACAGGAAGTGAGAGAGAGAAGTGGTGGAAGTGGAGGAAGTGATGGCGTATAACTATTGGAAGGCGCAGTATTCAATGATTTTTAAAAGACTATTCATTAACCAATGAAGGGGATGAAGAGGCTCACATGATTAGCTGACATTGAGCACGTGCACTCATGCTATTGTCTCTAGCTCAAGTCAAGAGAGCCATGTTGTACATTTATGTATTTGTCTGTTTATTTTTCTAATCCCATTAAAAATTTGGGAAATTTTACAGTGCATTTCCGTTTGTGATCCACGAATAGTGGAAACGTTTAGTTCCTGGATTAGAATTATGAGATTAAAATTATTTTTAATTTACGTGTATTTTTTATGAAAAAAATACTATAACAAACCATGAACCATAATTCAAATCATAGTATGAATCCCCTTACCAAACGTCGTGTTTTTGACCGTTAGATTAAGGTGTTGTTCTTTTAAATTTTTGAGTTAGGATGATTTGAGTGATGATTTTAAGTTAAGTTTAAATTATAACTTGAGTTGAAGTTATAACTTGAGTTTGTATTTAGATGTACACATTTGAGTTATGATTTGAATTGAGAATCTTTTTGAGTTTGTGTTTAGGTGGGTCAAAACTTAAATTTGTATTTAAATAGTATTTTAATAAAAACTCAATGGTGATGAAAAATTTTAATAGAGTATATGGGTGGAGTTTTATTCGTCTTTTCGTTGTGAATGCATAGAAAAAAAATCATCTCAATTAGAATTAAAACGAAAAAGTTATGACATTTTCAAGAATAGAAAAAATATTGTTCATTAACTTGAGTTCGAGTTTATGAACTCGAGTTGAAGGAAAAACTTGAACTCGAGTTTAGCCTCAAACTCGAGTTCAAACTCAAATTTTATAAAAGAACATGAACTTGAATAAAGTTGTAACTATAATTCAAACTTTTTCTGAATTTTGTTGCAAATGAACAACCCCTAAATATTTAGGGATTAAATCTGTATAGATCTATATTAAAAATTTACGTCGTGTTACATGGAAATGCACATGTTGTTCGGACGTTTGGTTCACGAATTCAGAATTATGATTCATAACTATTCTCAATTTACGTGTGTTTTTTTGTAAGAAGAAACACTATGATGAACCACGAATTAAAATTCAAATTATAGTATAAATTCTCGTACCAAAGACCATAAAAAGAAATTAATTTTATATTAAAAACACTTATTCTACCGATGAGTTATAATTTTAAGATGCACGGTAAAATAAGCCTGCTCCTAATATATTTTGCAAACTCACTTCCGTCCTTTTTTATTCCCTCTAGGTCTAGTAACGAGTCTTTTCGTTTCCTTTTCTCCTGTTCTACATTGTTCATTGTTTCATTTCGAAATTAACATAAAATGATAAAAGTGCAGACATAAGATTATTAAATATGTAGTTCTCAATTGGAAAATTATAATATAAGAGTTAGAGCTTCTTCTGGATGGATTCCATATTATCCAATCTAAACGCAATTCTGGTGAACCTTCCATTGTTATAAATCATCGTCCAATATTCCAATTTTTTTACAGCAGAATTGTTAGACATAAGATTATTCTTAACGGAAATTATAGTAAATAGCTTATTTTAAAATTATTTAAAGTAAATAACAATTTATTATTTTTGTTTACTATTGGTAAAATTAAAATATAATTTATATGGTAAAAAATCTTTATTTACGTAAAAAAATCTCAATCATAAAAATAAAATTAACGTGAAAACATATTTTTATTATTCATAAATAAACTATTTATGTAATAAATTATTATTTACTTTAAATAATTTTAAAATATGTAATTTACTTAATTTAGTTTTACCACGTTCTCTCCAAATCTATTTTGAAGTGAAGTTGATAATCGTTTTCTGAATTTTATTGGTTTTGGGCTTCATTCGGCTTTTGGGCTTCAGTTATTTTAGGCCATTTTTGCTTCGGGTTTGTTAGGAGAAATATAGAAATATAAACGGTGATTTACACGGGAAATTTTTGGGAGAAAGAAAGAAATAGGCCAAGACTTGAGATGAATTAAAATTAATAGGTTAATAGTTTACATAAGTTAATAAATAGGCCAAATTAATATTTTCGTTCATAACTTGTCTGGTTATGAACCATAACTTGACAAGTTATTATCCATAATTTACGGATTTTATCTATAACTTATCTGGTTATGAACCATAACTTGCTAAGTTTGTCCATAACTTTTCTGGTTATGAACCATAACTTGACAAGTTATTATCCATAATTTACGGATTTTATCTATAACTTATCTGGTTATGAACCATAACTTGCTAAGTTTGTCCATAACTTTTCTGGTTATGAACCATAACTTGACAAGTTATAGCCTATTAATTTCTATAACTAAAAGTTGGCCTATATACTTCCTTAAAGCTTTTCATATTGGCATATTTTCTACTATTTCCTGAAATTTTTTTGGGTGAAAGAGGGAAATAGGCCTATTTAAGAATGGAGTAAAAATTGATGGGCCTAAGTTTGAAAAGAGTAAGTAAATAGACCAATTCAGTGTAAATTCTCAATTAAAAATCTGAAAATACCCCTAAATTAAAATGAAAATTCTGAATTCAAATAACTAAAAATTCTTCCGTAAAAAAAGTCCAAATTCTTTCTTGATTGTCTATCTCTCCTTCTCTCTCTATTGTCATCGACCGCAAATCGACTCTGACGTATACGTTTGCGAGATCTGTCGCCCTCTTGGCTCCAACAATCTCTCCTCCATGCATTTTTGCGAGCAACGAAGCTCGCCATCTCCTGTGTACAATTGGCTTCGCGATCTCCGGTGGCCTCGCGGGACTAGATCTCCAGCGAGATTCGACAACTCCAGCAGACTAGAGAGAGAGGCGTTGAGGAGCTGTTTCCAATCTACAATCCCGATTCCGTAGGGAGGAGAGAGATAGGCGAAGAAAGAGAGGGGAGGAACGTCGAATCTGGTACTCGTGCGGCTGTGGCTTTCACACTATGAGAAATTTGTCATAGAGTATAGCATATAGAAAATTTAACACAACAAATGACATTGCATTAGAAAGTATTTTTTAAACTTAAATGTTAAATTTACAATTAATAAATTAATTATAATTTTGCATTGGACATGCTTTAAGAAAAAGAGAGAGATGTCAAAAGAGAAGGAGAGAGGAAGAGAGAGAAATGTAGTTTAAGGAAAATGGGTAAAAAAATCAAATGAATCCTTTTAAAACTAAATATGGCATATTAATTTATAATCTTTAGTAAACAGGTTATTTACTTTATCATGTTATAAAAACATGCCTATTTACTACAATTTCTCAATTTAATTTTATTTGCACCCAAATTCTTTTTAAGGTACTCTAAAATATTTTAAATTTAAAATTATTTTATTTATAATATTTAAATCCCATATAATGTCATAATATATACCCTATTATACACCCCATCTTTTTCACGTTTTGTCTTGAAATCTCTTTGATTATGTGCATTTATTCCTCCTAAATGATTGCACGAGCTTTCTTTCTTTTTTTCCCCCCATAAATACGCGACTTTCTTCTTCCTCTTCTTTTTTTTTTTAATTGTTTTCGCAAAAATTATAATATGCAATAAACACTAAATAGAACTTCTACGTCCAACCCTCCTAGGTTTCACTCTAATTGAATCTGAATGTACACTTCAGTATATGAAATCTTTTTTTTTTTTTGGAAGAATTTAGAGATCAATTGAATAAATATTTTTACAGATAAATAATGAAATATCAAGATGTGCCAAATTGATGACGTCTGCAAAATGATAAGAACTTAAAAATGGAAAATAAGCAACTTTCTTCAGAATTTTATGAAACCCAAAAAAAAAAAAAAAAAAAAAAAAAAAGGAAAAGGGGTTCTAGAAGTCTTGATTTCCAGTAGAATTTCTTCAAAGTTTTGATAAGATTAATCACTCTTCTAAGTTTCAATAGATGGAAGATCCAGACTTATTTCTTCCAATCTCGTCTTTATCTTCCACCCATACCTTTTCATTTTTCTGATGATTTTTTAATAGAGTATGTAAAAATAAATTCTATAAACAACGGCAAAGTTTGAAACGATGAATGGAAATTATCAAGAAGAGGAAAGTAAAAATCTTTTTTAATAAAAAGTTTCTCGAAACCTAGAGGTGTATACAAGGGTATTTATGAAATTACATGAGATTTAGATATTAGAAAGAAAATGAATTTAAATTTTTAATATCTTGAGGCGCTTTAATAAAAATTTAGCGTGTAAATAAAATTTTTCTTTACACACATAGCAAGATTTTGATATTGACATTTAAATTTAGTAAAATTTTAAAATATTACAATAATAACAAAATTTTATATCATTAAAATAACGATTATACCATTATAATAAAATGACTAAAAAAAGATATGGTAATAAAGAACAAAAAAAAAAAAGAAGCACACCCCTTTTCCAACGCCGCCCCTTTCGTTGATTTTCAGTACCCGTCATCTACTTCCCAAATATTCTTCTCCAAATTTATCTTAAAATCTCCCTCAATTCTCATTCTATTGTCATGCAATCGAACTGTTTTTGCTTTTTCCTTTCACTATCCCTTTCACGTGTTTATTATTTTGTATCTTTTTTCTCATCTATTGTCATGCAAATGATTCTCTGTTTGCCGCAGTAATATTGAGAAAACCCAACAAGGAAAAAAGAAGTAACACGACAAAATGAAACCTAAACCTTACACGTCTGATTTTTCTCATTTTGTGGCTTGTTTATCTCTTGAAATACTGTCTGAATACTCAACTTAAAAGAAAGAAACTTCAGAGAGAGATTTTTTTTGTTGTGTTGTTTATTATTTTCATTCAGACACAAAAAGGAATTGTGATGTTGATGGATACGTCATATGGAAATTTGTCAAATCTCTCGAGATGAAAACGTTTGGTATAAGGACATTGATGGATTTGGAAATGTGTCAAACTGTTTTCTTTTATGTGTTTGGATGTGTATTACCTAT